GGGAAAGGCGGGGGAAGGGGCAGGCTGGGGTTGGGGGGGGGGGGCGTCTGGGCTCCTCGGTTCTCTCCCCGTCCCCTGTCCGAGCCCCTGGGTCTCTGTGCGCTGCCCTCCCCCTGGCTCGCCCCGTCCGGCTCGGCCTCTCGCTCCCTTCTCCTCCCTCCGTCGCTCACACACAAACAAAATGGCGGCTGTTGTTCCTTCGCTCTCCCGAGCCCTCGGAGGGAAGCGGCGGTGGCGGCGGCGGCCGGAAATGAGCCAAGAGAACACGGGGGGCGGGGCCGCCACGGGGGGCGTGGTCAGCCCTGCGGGCGGGGACACGGCGGGGCGGGGCCCGGCGGCGCTAGCGCACACAATGGAACGCGGGGCGCCGGCGGGGTGGGGGGAGCGGCACCGCCCCAGCCGCCGTCACGAGACCGCGATTATCCAATCAGCGCTCGCCTCTCTCCGGGCTCTTCCGCAAACTCCACTGGTCCCGCCCCTTAAAGGCGAAGGGTTTTTCCCTTAAAAAAAAAAAAAAAAAAAAAAAAAAAAAAAAAAAAAAAAAAAAAAAAGAAAAAAAAAAAAGCTCCTTCTTCCTGCCCCGCCCCACACGCCCTTATCTGTCGGCCCAAAAGTGCGCGGCGTAGGCCTGGGGGAGCCTGGCCTGACCCTGTGGTTCCTCCCCCCACCCCGGTCTGCTGCACTGCACTGCCCGGTGCCTGCTGCCCGGCCCGGTGGGCTGAGGCGCCGGCGGGAAGAGCGCGGTTCTTTCGCCGCCGCCCTCCCTCCTTCCCTCCCGGCCGCCGGCTCCCGGCCGGTTCCCCGCGGCGCCGGCGGGCGGGGCGCTCCTGCCGCCGGTCCCGGGCCGTGCTGCGCCACAGACATGGCAGCCCAGGCCGGCAGCCCCCGGCCAGCGAGCAAAGGGGCTGGGGAGCGGGGCCCGCACCCCGAGGCCCCCGAGGCGGGCGAGTGGATATGCGAATCACATAATCGCAGAATAAATTATATTAGAAAAGCCCTCTGAGAACATCGAGTCCAACCTGTGACCGAACACCACCATGTCAGCCAGACCATGGCGCTGAGTGCCACGTCCAGTCTTTCCTTCAACACCGCCAGGGACGGAGACCCCACCACCCTCCCGGGCAGCTCCCAGTGCCTAATTGCTCTTTCTGTGAATAATTTCCTCCTAATCTGGAGGCGCTCTGTGCTGCCCATCCCGGGGGTGCCCAGAGCTGCCTCAGGCTCCCGTCGGCGTTACAAAACAAACAAAAACCCCCAAACCCCACACTTTTACGCCAAAGGGTAAATAAGCCCACAAGCCCCGCGCCCTCTGCCAGACCCCCGCGTGTGCCGGGGATGGCGCAGGGCACGGTGTGAGGGATGGCAGAGCCCTGACAGCGCTCCCGCCCCTCAGAGGGGCTGTCGCAGGCACAGGTGACACTGGCGCGGTCCTTCGCCAGCCCTCTCAGCCCCCGAGCCGCCCCAAAGGTTACGGGCCCGCCACGAGTTTTCCTCAAATCTCTGAGGGCCGATCCGTGAGGAAATGCCCCATCCCGGCATTTCCCTTCGGTGCGTTTGGACTCCGTCGGGCCGCACACCACTACGAGATAGGAGTGGAAGGGAAATGCAGGCACGTGCATGTTTTTGATGGAGAATCAGGGGGTGTTGATCCAAAACCGGACATTTGCGAGGAGGACTTCCCTTGCCGCTGTCCCTCAGGGCTGAGCTCTCTGCAATCCACGTAAGAGCCGCAGCAGGTATTTGGGAAGTGCCTAGACTAAACACAGAATCAATACTGCAGCCTACAAGAGGAGCCTACACACAGGAGGAGATTCACAGCCCTGTAAGTTACCCACCAGCTCCCTCACATACTCCCACTCTTCAGCTTCCCTTGTTTGGGTTTTATTTTAAGCAAGATTGTTCTTGTCTCCCCCAGCACAAAAAGGAAAACACAAACCACTTCAAAAATGCCCAAAGACTGCATTAGCCTTCCTGAAAAGTCTTGAAGGCATAGGCAGTACGCTAAAAGGGGTGGAGGGAGCCTTGCAAACGACAAATAAGCCTCAGGAAAAGAATGTGTAGAGCAGAGAGTCTCAGAAGTAAAGCTGTCAGGGCTAACAGCCTAAAATTTAACAGTGACACTTTAGAAACTATGTTAGCTGTTCTCACAGGTCCTTTGCCTTTTATTGTTTCTAAATTTCCCAAAATATTCCAGTTATAGAAATTTTATATTACGTCTTTTTTTTTTTTTTCAGATTGACTGTTTTGCTTGTTTGCGAAGCAATTTTTAAACACAGCTGAGACTTATTTTAACTTTTTGGTCTCCTTAGAATTAGAAGTTGACTGAAATAAGTCAATATAATGTTGTCAGACTATCTGGAGACCCTTAGTCCACAATTCAATAAGGAATTAGTGCTGGCTTTATAAAGATGCTGAAGTGCACATAAATACCTACATGCTTTTAGAAGTCAGGCTCTTACTAAACAAGTTTGGACAAAGAAAATGTTTCAAATAAGAGTTTTGTGACACTTGTTCTTATCTTGAGACTCGTAGAGACTAGATCCTACCATTCAGTTCACCTGACAAATAAAGTCCCTTATTTTTTTTCTTTTTTTTTTTTTTTTTGTGGTGCAATGTATTTAACTGATAATTTAGTAAAGCCATAGTTCTGCCTTGCAAGCTTCCTACCCAGCAGAACATCTTAATTCTTTAGACATTAGAAGGTCATATTCAGTTCGCTTTCCATATTAGAGATTTAAATGCAAGCTGAAGTATATGGAAAATAAATAGAAATAATGTTATTTGCAGTATTTTTCTTTTTAAAAAAGCATCAAAAATAAAAGAAGGAGGAAGAAAAGGAAAAGCCAGGAAGATAGGGTTATGATAAATCAAATATATATATATAAACAATGACAAAAAACTCTTCAATGTCTGTTAAGTTTTCTGAAATCACTGCAATTTTCTTAAATGAACCTTAGTACATGCACACAACCCATGACAGATAACATTACTGGAAAGCAATAACAGAATATACAGCATACTAAGAAGTAAATGCATAAACCTATACAAATAAAACCAGGAGGATATTATAATATTAAAACACACCTATTTGTCCAAAAACTTCTCGATCCTTCAGTTTCCCCATTCTTACAGCAAAAATAATTGAAAAATAATACCTAGAAGGATTGATTAGCTCATTATTGTCAGTAATTGCAGTAGTTGTTATGTACTTCAAGATAACTGGATGAAAATACCATAAGTCCAGTTAAAATGAGAATCTGCTCAGGAAAGCAATAAGAGAGGAATGCAGAGCCTTGAAGTTTTATCGTGGGATCTTGTTTGGCCTTAGCTGGTAGTTACTGAAATTTGTAAGCATGCCCAGCTGCTTTGAGAGCTACAAAGAACAAGATAAGATCCCTTTGTACTGCAAAGGTCAATGTGATGCCCAGAGCTCAGCAGCCCTGCTACAGTGAGATGAGCAGGCAGAGGAATAATCATCTCCCTCAGCCCAGAGGGAGCTGGGACTGTGGCCTTCCCCTTCCAGCTGCTGGATGGAGAAGCAGTGTAAGATCTCAAAGCCACCCAGCCAGCCTCCCCTACTCCCTAATGCTGCTCAGGAAATCACTAATGCCAAATAAAATTTCCCTGCTCCCCATCAGCAGGATTTGACCCACAGCCCTGTGGCCCTTCGAGTGTCCCTGAAAGATGCGGGCTCTTGGAATGGAAAGCAGGAGCCAGGTACAGGGCACTCCCGTTCTCTCAGTCCTGTTTCTTCTTGCAGTTTCCAGCTGTATTATCTTTTTTCCCTGAGCTTTCCAGGGCTGCTGTTCATGTCTGGCAGGTAACTTCTGTTCCCTAGCTACCTCCTGCCACCACAGCACTGCTCACACAGCAGCTGGAGAGGGAGGAGGAATGACCCCCTTCTCTGTACCAGCGAGGAGATTTGTGCATGGAGGGTCCTCCCTGGCACAGGTTAGGGGGATAAGGAAATGATTTAAGGCTGCAATTTTTGCAAGTAATGCCAGGGTGCAGCTATATTTCTGGAAAGCAAGAGCCAGCTGTGCCAGAGCAGAGAGCATTGCTCAGCGCGGCGTCAACGTGAAAACCCAGCAGCGTTTTGATATGAGACAAATTTTATTAAAACCATAAGAAGCAACCATCCAATAGTTGATTCGTTCTTGCTTTTAGTGTATACATAAAAGAAAGGGCTGGCGTTCTGACAGCAAGCAAAATGCTTTCAGTCCTCAGTCTCAGAAACACAGGCTTCCTCGGTCACACAGTTTTCAATAGCTGCAAACACAGAGTTATGTTGCTAAATGTTAAGGGCTCAGCTGTTTACCAGAAGAATGTTTCCTCCCTGGAACACATGGTTTTGCTTAAAAGAAGTTCTCCCAAAAACCCCACTTTATTTAATTAGCAAATGCAACATTATAGTTCTAACAAACATGCCATGCTGTCTTCCCTTACAAGAGCAAAATAGGAAAAGAAGACAAAAATTGACCTCTCAATTTAAGAGAGGGCCAGAAGTACATTCTGCCTACGAAGTATTGCAGCTTTGAGGTCTGGTGATCTAGAGCCAAATCTCGTGCTTGAAATGTATGGTACTTCATGTGTTATTTCCATGTCCTGGTTCATGCTGAAAGCACAAACATGGACCAGGCTGCGAGGCTTGCATGCTCTCCCAGCTTTTACCAAGGGCTGGACAAATCTCTGCCTCTCACTTCCCAGGCTCAGCTCTCCCTCCATAAGGGGGAGGTGATCCCACTCCTTCTTACAGAAAGCACATTCAAATAATTAAATAAAAATATAGTACTCTTGTTGCTTCTAAATGAAATTACACTGAAATTAATTGCATTTACATCAGCAGTTGATTTATCCCAGAGTATTACTGGGATGCAAGCAAGAGCTTCTAGAATGAAAGTATTATATTTTTAATTAAGGGCCCTTGAACTTGCCACAAGCTTTGAGCTTGTGGAGAGTGAAATGATGGCAAATTTCTGAACAAGTCAGTCAGCTCAGCAAAGTATTTACGATTATCTGCTAAAAATGATCGTTGTGAGACAGAGCTTAAGCTAACATGGGAAATCTGTGCTGAAAGAATTACAGATAGTGTAGCAACCCAAAGGAAGCATACTGTTCACATTCCTCATATTTCTTTTGACTCTTGTATCCAATGGAAAAGTTCTTGATAAGCTTTATTGCACTGCAGAGGGTACAAACAATGCACTTTGAAATCTGCTGAGTTTAAACCCAAAACTTATCTTTTCATTTGTTTCCTGAATTGTCCCACAGACACAAATCCACACCACACATATGTTTGTAAAGAACAGAATACATTTATTACTGCCATACAATCCCTTCCTGTCTTGTTTTTTTTTTTTTCTTCTCAGTATTTCTTAATTTATTTTTTTTACTTGCTACAACATTCTTCTCGATGCTGAACTACAACGTGGTGTTTGATGTCTGCAGTCAAAATGCAACGAGAGGGAAAAAGTAACTTTTTTTTTCCTGCTGTAATAGTTTTTATATTTCAAGATTTAAAGTGATTTCTTCAATGGGGTCAAGCAGAAATTTACTCTGTGACAGGGAAATGTACTGAATCAAGAGGGTTTTAGTATAGAGGGTATTGGCCTTCTGACAGAGCTAATGGAACCCTGTTGTTCACAGGATAATACACTTACTTAACACAATTTGAGCTGTTTTTGCAGCTGCCATTGAAGAAAAAAATTCCACAGGAAATATAGGTCTGGTTGGGGTTTTTTTCTTTTTTCTTTTTCTCCTTTTCTCTAAAAAGATCTTGTACATTCTTGGCTTTTTGGCATGAATTCTTTCCTTCTACATGCAAGTAGAAGTCAATTATTAACTACAAACACCAGAATACAATTGATTCTAATGCCACCACTGTGTGTAAAACATTAGGGTTAATTCTCAGTTCCCTACCTTCCTAATGTGTACGGACTTATCACTTCTCTTCCCAAAAGTTTCCTTGTGAACCCTCACATTTCATTACCTATGAGGTTTTTTTTTTTTTTTAATTTTTTATTTTGGTCTCTTGTAGCAAGGGATGTTGACATCAGGCAACACCAGACATTCAGTTCTCATTCCCTGCCTGTCCCTCATGTGAGGCCTGGAAGCCTTGGAGAAGGGAGCATCACCCCTGATGGTGCAACACTGTTAAAAGGCACCAAGAGAGCAGCCAGAATGCAGAAGCTGTGGCAGCACCCCAGCAGCACACTTTTTCTCCTTGTGCTGCTACATTGCCTCAAGCCCTGGAGAGATCATTTTAGTGGAGCAGAGGTTTATGGGATGATTTGTGATACTCACTCCAACCTCTTTTGCCATCTCAGATGCCTTCCTGATTGCAGGACAGACATGGGAGAAGGGGTTCCACAGGATTCCAGATTCAGTGGAGGTGGTCACAAACCACATCAGTGGGATGTCAGGGAAAGGCCATTCACCCAGTCCAGAACAGGCACCATAATAAAGGTGCAACCACCTGTGAGTAAAACTAAAACATTTTGAGATGGCTGGACAGGTCATCATTTCATACACGAACAGGCCCCAAAGGTCGAGGTTGTCATGATACTCTGTGAGCAAGGACTTGTTTATCATTCTTTAGAAGTGAAGAAACATTGAAGTAGCTTTTAGGAGAAGGTAGAGAGCTTTTCTAGTGGTCAGAAAAGCAACAATTTCAAGGTTGATGTTACTCCTCCATCCTCAGTGTTTCTGTGACTGCAACTTTGTTGCTAATTAAGAATCAGCTTCCAGAAAGCAAAACACAAAGCTGGAGGTACACAATTAGCATCACAAAAGACCAGAAATATTGATTCTTTCACCATGATAAATAAGTATTTTGTGCAGATGTTTGGTCCCTGTGTGAAGAGGCTTGGCCACGGGCATTCTGCATGATGCTGTTAGGCCAAGCACCAAGCCCAGGAGAAGCTTTTCTGGGTGACCTGGACCCTGAGCTCCCCTGGACAGAGAAAATTCTTTTGTCTCAGCAGGAGAAAAAAGGCATTGTAACATCAACCACGCAAAAAATCCCATTTGCTGCTGCTGCTGCTGCCCTGCACGGTGAGTGTTGGCCCAGTGTTTGGGAGTGGACAGAGGGGACTTTGCCTGTCCATGCTGGATGTGCTCCTGGCATGCCTGCTGCCTGCCTCCCCTGGACATCCTGGGGTGATGTCCCAGACAGCTGCTTTGGCAAAAAGGACAGTGCTGCTGGACAAATGGAGACGCAAAACTTACAACACCGGAGTGAGAAGAGTAGTGAAAAGTCTGGCAGCCGGATGTGTCAGTTGTCTTGGCAGCAATGCAGGGTTTTTTCTTGTTTACTCTGCTAGATGTAGGCATCAGAGTTCCTGCTGAAAAGGAACAGGGTTGTTCAAAGCCTCTCGCGATTTTGCAATTTGCTGGTTTATATGTCTTCCTATCTGTGCCACTTACAGATACATATGGATAAATGTATATGTATATTTGTATACCTCAGAGGTATCAGAATTAAACATATTTTGTTTTGAATATTCAAGCCATCCCAGCATAGTTACGTCCTGCAAAAAAACTATTTAAAAATTATTTTCACCACAGTGAGCATCTTCCGCAGAGGAGTGCATCAGCTTCCAGAAGGTGAGACATGTGGAAGATTCCCTGTTGCCAGCAAAGGAACCGAGCCAAGGACTAACAACAGTGGTCTGACTCTACAATATGAAGGGGAGCACGTCTGTGCTTGCACAGAAGTATCCCACATCAGTGCAAAATAGGCCTGTGGATTCCTCCATCCCTCCTGGGTATTTCAATTAAAAGCAGAGAAGAAAGTCCAAGAAAATGCCTAAAATGGCTTGAGTCCTTCCTCACGATCTGGAAATGGAAGTCTGCGGTGACTAACTCCAGCCCAGCCACCAAACCCCTCCCTCCCCGACTCTGCATTGCTCTGTTCATTCCCAGCTCCTCTCCTGCGTTTGCAAACAGTCGGCAGTGGAAACAGTGAAGCAGCCTGGCTTCGAACGCCAGCACCACACGAGCGGTGTGCGACTGCAGCAGGGACCTTCACCAGCCCATCCCCGTGCCTGAGCCAGGAAGAAGTGCTTAAAATCTGACGGGGGCAAGGCTTGATTACAAGCAGAGGAATGACTTTAAAAGAGGCTGCCACCACGCCTGCAAACAAAGCCCGATTAAATCCTTCCATGGGCTTAAACTGGCTTCAAAACAGGCCTCTAGCAGCTTCTCCAGTTTAAATAGAAATTAAAATGCTTGTTTATAATTTCTAAGCCAGTTCAGATGATGTCTCCTGACTTTCTCACAAAGCTAACAGCAATATTCGTAAAGGACAAAATTAGCTAACTGAGTGGTAAGGAAAGCTGCATCCCTTACCCACTCAGAGTTGGTAATATGAGCTTTTTGAGCTTTTTTCTTTTCTTTCTTTCTTTCTATTTTTTTTCTTCTTTTTCTGGTCATTCTGTTGCGGTTATGCATTTGACCTGAATTTGAAAGCATCAATCCTGAAAAGAGTTGCCTGAGCACTGGGAGCAGTGGGAACTCATGCTCTGATGGTGGGTTATTCCATGGGCACCAGCCCAGTTCCTTCTCTGTTCACTCACATTGTGTGACAAGCATGAAGTCTCAGCTCTTCTGCTCAAATTTTAACCATCAAGTGCAAATACTGAATGATTTTGTGTGATTTCAGCTGTTCATTTCCTTCCACCACCCATCCACCTCACATAAAAGTCCATTGAGACTTGTTTTTTGCGTGTTACCTATCCCACAGGAGTGTGTGATCTCTCCTGGTATCCAAGAATTGTGACAATGCAAAAAATAAAGAATAGTATGAGATGCTTGTCACCCCAGTTCTGTATTGTTCAAAATCTTACAGTTCAAAATCTTACTTTCTCTTTTAGTTTAATTCAGTCACAACGTTTTCCCTAAGGACTTTAAGAGTCAGAGCTCTCTGTGCTCACGAGTGAAGGCCAAGGGAGGATAAATCGTTCATTGTGGGCCCCGGGATGCCCTATCCGCTCCTCTTTGCTTGTGAACCATGGAGAAAGACATCCTTGAAATGTTTGACTGCTTCTGAGACAAAGCCCTCCTTGCCCTTCATTCAGCAATGTAGCAAGATCTTTGGGAGACCAAATGTGCCTGGAGATGAGTTTATTCACAGGGTGTATGAGGTGCTGGCTGGAGAGACGCAGAGCTGAGCTGCTGGCATATGCCCTGCCCAAATTTGTCCCTGCCCTCAGGTTTGTGACCTCGGTGACTATTTAATAGTGTAAACCTACCTTGTATATTCCCTGCAGAGCTGATTAAAAAGGATGATCACATGAAGGAACACCTGAGCAAGGATATCAGTAGATTAATTCATTATTTCTACTAAGCTAATTAAGTATTAAGGCAGATCAATTAAGTGATCACACCAAGATCACGATTAAGATCAAATCAATAAATCAGTAGATTCAAATGGCTGACCAACAGGTTGTATGTCTATCAAAGTGACTTGAGAGGTTGCCACTGAAGGAATTACTTAGATTTTAATCTTGTCTAGGAAGATTTCAAGGAGGAGGCAGAGTCTTTTCAGGCTAAAACCCCAGTGAGCTTTCCAGCAGTGAAGAACATAGGCCTTTGAGAGATATAAGGATATTGAAGGAGATATCTCTCCTGCTTCGAAGGGGGATATCCAGTCTTTGGATTTTTTGCCAAGCTGTATGACCCAGATCATATGGTAATCTTGTTTTCACTGTGTCATGATGTAACATGATAGACATCACTGCGGTAACTTTCCTTTAACATGTCTTTCTTAAACCTTAATTTTACTTTAAAATGTATTAACATTTATTGTCTATATATACCTTGTTTCACAAGTGGCCCAGTTTTTCTCCACTGCCAAAGAAGAAGGGGTGGTTAGGTAAGCCTGGCTACTTCTGAATAATCTTGTTTTCAGCTCCAAAACCTGCCATCTTAACTAATTTACTACTTCATTGTAGTATTCCTCCAAGGGTATTTTTCACACAAGCACACTTGGTCACCCATTCATACCAACAGAAAACCAAGAAGAGATGGAATTGATTAATTAAAACAAAGGTAAAAACAAACAGTGTAATTTTATCATTCCTTGGAGGGTTTAATTGACATCCATATTTCTTCATTACACCGAGCACAGCACTGAAGGCTTCCTCTGGGCACACAGCCTGGAGCCTGACGTGGCCCCAGAGCAGGCTGCAGCCTGCCCAGCCCCATGAGAGCCTTCCCTCAAGTCTAGCTCATCTTCCTCTCTGTGCCTTATCCACACCAAAGCAGCATGTTCATGTTTTTATTTTGGGTAGTGGATGATACAAAAGAACCATGTTTCTCTTATCATTATCATTGGTACAGGTATAACTTCTACTTAAATCAGCCTTGGGTTCACGCTGTAGGGCTGTCAGGCCAGTTTTGAACCCCAGTGCTTTGGATGGTATCTATCATCCAGGTCCCTCATAAGCTGTGTCAGGAAGTCCCACCAGCAAGTGACCTTTAATTTTGCCTGATCAGTTTTGATCATATATCTGTAATATAAAATGAGGATGTGTAGGAGGAAGCCTCCCCAGTAAGGTGGAAGTTTTTCTTGCAGCAGAAGTAAAGGGAGTATCACATGCTGTCGGTGGAATTCTCCCAGCTTTCAGAGAAATACCTGGTGTCCTGCTTAGTACACTTTCTACTTGGTACAGTTTCCTTGTCCTAGTTCCTCCTCCAGTTAAAATATTGTGAATTTCTTAATGGAAAAAACTTGGGATGCTAACTTGGGGGAATTTTTTGCCTTACTCTCATGGCTTCTATCTAAACCCACAAAACATTATTACATTAATTACTATTTGACCATTAAAGTTTTCTCAGTATAGATTCTATTTGGGGTATATTCTCATTCCACAATGTCCAGTCCAAGCAAGGGTCAAAATGTATTTGAATTCCCAGTTCATGGAGGCCCAGGCTTGCTGGTAATGTGGTGGAAAGCTTTTCACATTTCTTTGTCACCAATGTGAGTTATAGCGTGCCTGAGGCAATATGTGGGCCTTAAAAATAAAAAATTCAAATGCAAAATAAAAGATGCTCTGGTTCTCCTTTTGCTGAGACAGCACAAATCAGGGGGTGAGCTGTGCACAGTGCTCTGGTAGAAAGTAATTTCCTGATTTAGGGTGATATGTAGCTAAGGATTTGACTGATCTCATCTACCTGTATATTCAGTCTTTCCGAGATGCTATTAGTAAGCATAGCTGAAATTTGAATATCTTATTTTGTTTTATAAAGCCTCTTTCAAATTATTTTTAGGGAGAGTTATCTTTGTTACTTGCAACATGACACAGCTTCGGGTCATGTGCAGGTTTAATCAACCTGATTTTTCAGGCAAATAATTTACATGAAGGTCATGTACAGGCCTGTGACCAGGACAGACCCTGGCTCACTCTCACTTGGTCCGCCCTTTCATTTGGAAAATAAATTACCTTTATAAAGTCCAGATCAGCACAGGGCTTTGCCACTAGCCCTCCACTAATTTTATCAAGTGTGTTTTTCTGCCTGGTTTAGCAGGACATTGCATGAGACTGTGCCACAGCCTGTCCAGAGCTGAGCTGCTGCACCTCTGGAGCTTCTGCTGTTAGTCTGCTTTGGGGGGAAAGCTGGTTGTTGTGGTATGGCTTGGTCTTGACTATTCCAAGTTCTCATCTCTTTGTCATCTCCTGGATGTTTACAAGTAAATTCATTATTTGTTCTGAAGAGTTACAGCTAGGCTGACTGATCTATGATTCCCTTGGCTTTTCTTGTCTTCCCTTTTCTCTTCATAGGAACTCCTTTGGCCTTTTAAACTTGGGGGGTCCTGGCATATCCATCACTAACTCCCCAAATTAACCACTACTGTCATTTAGTGCTGGGTGAAATTGCTCCTGCACAATGAAATTGAAAACATTTACCTCATCTGTGTGCTCCCTAACCACTGTTTTCTTTCAGGATTGCATCTCATTCCCTTCCTTGGCTGCCTGTTCAGCAGCAGTTTATTCACTGTAGGCTGATAATAAAAAAAGTATTAAGGACTTTGACTTTATTGAAAGTATTTATCAATAGCTTTTGCTATTTATTGGGTAGCAGAGCAACCCTTTCCCTTACTCATCTTGTTTTTACCCTATGAGACTAAGTCTTCTGTGAACGGTGCCCCATGCTGGAGTCAGAAGTGTTCCGTTCTCTTTCTTTCATCAGTGCATGACAGAGAAGATCTTTTTGAGCCAAGCTGGTTGATTTCTGGCCTCTGTTGGTTTTTAATGTATTTATTTTTTTTAAGTTCTTCAGGGCTCAGTCTCAAATAGAAATTTGGGCTGATAAAGACACTAAGATCACCTCCCATCCTCACTGCTTGAGGTAAGCCCAGACAACTCAATCGCTGTCCTAAGGCCATCTTTCTGAAGGTCTCTTCCCAAGATCCCAAACTCTCCGCATCTGCTCAGTGATTCTTTTGGCAAGGGGGCCAGCAGGAAGGACTCTGTCTGCACAGTCTCCCACCTGGTTCCCTGAAGGGACATCCTCTCTTTGAAGGACAATTCCCAGTCTCGCT